CATAAAGCAATGTAATAATGGTTTATGTGGAAGTGTGTCATATCAATGCTTTACATCTTATCAATTTAATAGTTAGATTTACAAAATCCAAGCATTTAATGTGCTTAAACTTACTTTCTTTTCCCAAATAATATATATACACCTCTTTCCACCCAAACTTACACCTCTTTCCATCCAAACCAGTGATATTAACATACGGAGTAAGCTTCATATATACCAAAAATATGGCTAAAAATTCCGAAAACAGGTCCATGACAATGTTCACTCCAATTGCGGAACTCAACAGCAATAAGAATTCTTGGATTCTCATGTTGAGGGCTATTCGGGTTTACTTCGTTCCTAAATAGGCGAAAGGTGGAGATTCCATGGAGATCGTCTTACACGATGAGCATGTAATGTATTCTACAAGTTATTACATTTGTTTTTTTAACCCAAAATTCATAATCTCATTTTGTATACTTTTTTTAGGGAACTAGGATTCACGCACATCTTGCTCGGGAGGAAAAAGAGAAGTTTGAAAAGCAAATCATTGAGGGTGGTGTTTACGCCATTCGAAATGTTTTTGTCCATGACAATTATCAAAGATTGAAAACTGCTAGCAATGATAAGCTCTTGGGTTTTTTCAAAAAGACCGAAGTGAAAACTTTAAATCGGAATAATTTCCCCCGGATGATGTTCGACTTGAAGCCATTTCCAATTCTTCAAAGTCAACCATGTTTGAATGATCAACTTCTGATTGGTAATATTTCTTACAACATTTTTTTTAGTCTTAAGCTTCTTTATGAAAATAATGTGTGGCCGAAACAAAATCTTTGTCCTTCAAACAAAATCCAGTATTGATACATTTACAAAATGACTTATGCCGAGACAGATTGCTTGACCAATTGCTTTTTTATACAATAATAATTAAAGTATAAAAACATTTACGAAATTATTGATGCATTTTATGATTCGAAAGTATTGATGGATTTACGAAAGTATTTATACATTTTATGATTCGAATATTAATATACTTATATACATTTTGTACACATTTTATGCTTTAAAATATGTACACAACAATATGCCCAGACAGATTGGTTAACCAATTGCACAATGAAATATGTACACAAATACATAACGTGAAAGAAGAACATCATAAGATGATGGGACAATTGAATGACGAACAACGTCGCGCTTATGAAACAATTATGGCTTCTGTCGATTCGGGCGAGGGCAAGATTTTTTTCGTTTACGGATATGGGGGTACTGGAAAGACTTTTGTGTGGAAAACTTTGTCGGCTTCTATACGCTCAAGAGGGGATATTGTGTTAAACGTTGCTTCAAGTGGTATTGCCTCACTTTTGTTGCCTGGGGGAAGAACTGCTCACTCCCGGTTTGGAATTCCCATCAATCCCCATGAAAATTCCACATGTAACATTAAACAGAAGACACCACTTGCAGATTTATTGGTTATGAGCAAGCTTATAATTTGGGACGAAGCACCAATGACCCACAAATACTGTTTCGAAGCTGTGGACCGAACTCT